TGGTGGGGATTGGGCTCCAAGCCTGAGATGGTGGGACACTGAGGTTTTTGCAATTGGTTTGAGGTGTTACGTTGGAGGTAAGGAGCTCAAACCAGTCAAACCTAATGGAAATCAGTCCTGAAATTGCATTGGAAGGACTGATGCTGAAGCTGAAACTTCACTACTTTGGCCAGCTGATGGGAAGAACTGACTCATTGGAAAGGACCCTGATGCTGGGAAAGATTGAAGCCAGGAGGAGACGGGGACGATAGAAGATGAGATGGTTGGTTGGCATCACCAGCTCAATGGACATGAGTTTGAGCAAGCTCTGGGAGCTGCTGGTGGACAGGGAAGCCTGGGGTGCTGCAGTCCATGGGGTCACCAAGAGTCGGACACGACTGAGTGACTGAACTGAACTGGAGGCATTATGTACCATTACAGCAACTCTTGAGGGGCTCAGGTGGGGGTCTCATAGCAGAGGTCGAGGCACCTGGTGGGTGAAGTCAGTGAGACCCTAAGATGCCAAGATAATTGTTCTGGTCTTCAGATGAGGAAACAAACTGAGGCTCAGAGAGGTTTAAGGAACTTGCCTAAGCTAGTGATGGACAAAGGTGGGATTTTTACCCAAGTATGAAAGAAAAGTGAGTGTTATTTGCTCAGTCGTGTCTGACTCTTTGTGACCCCATTGAGTGTATCCCCCCAGGCTCCACTGTCCATGGAGTTCTCCAGGCAAGAATACTGGAATGGGTTGCCATGCCCTCCTCCAGGGGATCTTCCCCACACAGGGACTGTTGACTTGTAAATTGATAGGATTTCCCAGGCATTAGCTTCTGCTGAGACTGAAACAGTGATGGAGATATGCCGGGTACAAGGCGGGGAAGTACGAGGCAGGACAGCTTCTGACATCTGCGAAGACAAATGCCCTGGAAAAACAGACCTGGGCCTTGGATAGGGGGGAAATGCTTCAGTTGTGAAGGGCCCCTGAAGGGTCCAGAGAGAAAGTGAAGTCCCCAAGAGGAGCAGGAGATGGTGGGGTTGGGTCAGGGTGAGTCTGCTCTCTGGGGTGAGGCTCGGCTCAGGTACGCTGCCCACATGTGAATAGCACGAGATCGCGTGTCTGGCTCCCTCCTCCCCTCCTGCCCTCCTCTTCTTCTTCCTCCCCCTCCTCCACTACCTGGCCCTGCCCACGCCTCAGTGCACCCACTCAATGGGCCTAGTCTAATCCTCTGACATCACCGCCTGCCCAGCACAGGCCCTCCCTGGCAGCCTTGACAGCCCCCTCGCTCAGAGACCCAATTTAGTATCTCCCACCTCAGAACGTATCTCTTCCCTCAGCCTCTTCCCTCCTTCAGCTCACAGTTCAAATTGGGCACACCCTAGAGTCAGTCCCAAACTGGGGGGGCAGGAGCCTATGATCTGTCCTGGCCTTGCTGTGTGACTCCGAGTAAGTAGCTGGCCCTCTCTGGGCCTCAGTCTCCTTATCTAAATCTCCTCTACCCTCAGTTAATCACATCAACCTGTTTTGGCTTCCTCTCAGCACCTTGTAGCTTTAGGAAATTTTTTTTTTAATGAGTTCACATGTTGGTTGTTGGGAGACCACTGGACTGTGTGGCCCTTATTATTCACTCCAGTGCCAACACGCAGGAGGGGATCCACTGACAGCTGCTGTCTAAAGGTCTACATGGGCGATTGAAGGAACAGATGTAGCTCCTGCCTTATGGTGGGGCTCTGGATATGACTGTGTGTTCATAGGCACGGATGCACGTGCACTCCTGTGTTTGGCGCTCCCTGGCAGGGTGTGTGGTATAACACAGTTGTGGGCATGTCCACTAGGGTGTCAGCTCCACAAGGGCAGGGGTTTGTGTCTGACTTGTTTCCTGCTCTATCCCAGCTCTATCTGGAACCAGGACAAGCACATGGCTAGAATCAATACATCCTTGACTGTCAAAACGTATGAAAGTGTATACACACATCTGGTGTGGGTCCACGTGCCAACCTGTGTATATACTACAGTATAGTGTTAGTCACTCGTTCATGTCTGACTCTGAGACCCCATGGACTGTAACCCATCAGGCTCATCTGTCCATGGAATTTCCAGGCAAGAATACTGGAGTGGGTAGCCATTTTCTTCTCCAGGGGATCTTCCCCACCCGGGGATCGAACCTGAGTCTCCTACATTGCAGGCAGATTTTTTACCATCTGAACCACCGGGGAAGCCCAAGACATGTACATGATGATGCCAAAAGCTCAGTTTCTCTGTACACTGGTGCGGGATCAAACCTCACAGACAAAGATTGGGGTGAATTAGAAAAGTAGATCTTTACTGCTTTGCCAGGCAAAGGGGGATACAGCAGGCTCATGCTCTCAAAACCATGTCGCCCCTGGGGAAGATACTGAGAAGTTTTCTAGTAAAAGAGGATGTGATCAGTCCCTGAACATTTTCCTGATGCGTTGGTGGTGTCAGGTAGAAATTAACATATTCAACCTTCAGGTCCAACTGGCCTGGGGTCTACATGTTTGAGGGCAGCATACCACAACTTCTTCCACCTGGAGGGGGTTTCAGTACCTACAAAATCTTTCAAAGATATTGTTGTATGTATCTCATGATCTGGGAATCAGCACCTTGCCCTAAGGCTGCTCTTGATTAAAATCAATTTTTCCCTGCTTTTGCAATCCCTCCCTTCTATAATTAACAGCTGCCCATGTCAATTCAGGGCAGATCACAGAGGCTGAATGAAGGCTGATTCCTGAAATATCAAAGAAATGGATGGTGGGTGGGAGCTTCCCTGGTGACTGAGCAGTAAAGAATCCACCTGCCAATGTGGGAGACATGGGTGCACCTCTTCATCCGGGCAGATCCCACAGGCCTCAGAGCAACTGAGTCTGTGTGCACAACTGCTGAGCCCTCACTCTAGAGCCCGGGCTCTAGAGGAACAAGAGAAGCCACCGCAATGAGAAGCCTGTGCCCTTCGAGGAAGAGTAGCCCCCACTCGCTGCAACTAGAGAAAAATCGCACACAGCCACAAAGATCCAGCACAGAAAAAATCCATAAATAAAATTATATTAAAAATACATTTTAAAAAACCCTTAAAAGAAAAAACAGAACTGAAGGACGCAGGGGGTGAGGGGAGGAGGCTGTCCCCCTCCTGGCCCAGCCCTGGGGAAGGGAGGCAGAACAAGGCTGGAAGAAGCCTCCTCCATGGGTCCTGGGGTACAGAGGCTCTGCCAGCTAGAGACACGCCCACAGGAATGATGTCACTGATGGCTGGGTGACCTTGGGCAGGTCATTCCTTCTCTCCCTGTCTTAGCTTCCTCATCTGCCAAATGGGATGGTGATCGTGCCTTGGCTGACCTCTCAAGACTGTTAGAAGATTCGAAGGAAGCACCTAGAGGAAAGTTTTTTCCAGGCTCATGAGTCTTTCCATAGTCACCTCCTGCCCTATGCTTTCCTGAGCCTATGCCATGCTGGGAGTTTTAGCCTCATGACCTTATTGGCTCCTCAGATAGCTCTAAGAGGTAGAATTATGACCCATTTTTACAGATAAGAGAACTGAGGGGGTTTTTTAGATTAAAAAATTTTTTTATATTTATATTAATTTATTTATTTTTGCCTGTGCTGGATCTTTGTTACTTAGTTTTGGCTCTTCTCTAGTTTCGGAGAAGGAAATGGCAAACTATTTCAGTACTCTTGACTGGAAAATCCCATGGACGGAGGAGCAATTATGCTATAGACCATGGGGTGGCAAAGAGTCGGACAGGACTGAACGACTTCACTTCACTCACTTCACTCACTTCACACTCTATCACTGGAGAAGGAAACGGCAACCCACTCCAGTATTCTTGCCTGGAGAATCCCATGGACAGAGGAGCCTTGCGAGGCATGGTCCATGGGGTCGCAGAGAGTCGGACACGACTGAAGTGACTGAGCACTGAGCACCTCTCTGGTTTTGGCGAGTGGCGGCTACTCTCGAGTTGCGGTGTGCAGGTTTCTCACTGCGGCGGCTTCCCTCGTTGCTGAGCACAGGCTCCAGGGCTCGCAAGGCTTCAGTAGTTGTGGCGCGTGGGCTCAGTAGTTGCAACTCTCTGGCTCTAGAGCACAGGCTCAGAGGTTATGGCCCACGGGCTTAGCTGATCTAGGACATGTGGGAGCTTCCTGGATCAGGAACCCGTGTCTCCTGCATTGGCAGGAGGATTCTTACCCACCGAGCCACCAGGGAAGCCCTCTTTTTGATTTTCTGATGTGGACCATGTTAAAATGTCCTTATTGACTTTGTCACAATACCGCTTCTGTTTTATCTGTTGGGTTTCTTGGCTGCGAGGCATGTGAGATCTTAGCTCTTCAACCAGGGATTGAACCTGCAACCCCTGCTTTGGAGGGCAGAGTCTTAACCACTGGACCATGAGGGAAAGGCCAGGAAACTGAGCTTTAGAGGGGGAATAATTTACCTGAGGTCACAAAACTGTCT